CAATCACGTACTATCTCCTAACATCCCGACCAATCACGTACTATCTCCTAACATCCCGACCAATCACGTACTATCTCCTAACATCCCGACCAATCACGTACTATCTCTCTAGTTTAATCATTCACTGCAATCACGAGGGTTCGGCCGAACAGTTATTTCCTTGGTTCTGTCATATCATCAATGAGGCAATGGCACATATTTTGACCCCACCATAATCTTTCCCTTCCCAAAAATCTGAGAACCGGTACTAAAAATCCCAACCAATAAAGCACTAAAACACAAACATTGCATTTGATATATATATATATATATATATATATATATATATATATAACAGTCCTTGAGATTGAGAGGGAAACTGGTTTCACCTCCATAAGTTTCAACAGCGGAAGTCTCTAACCCCTCCGTTGCCTCATGATAAAGTACAAGATGAACTGACAATCAGTATCAGCCCTGACAGTAGGAACACACGACCCCTGGTAAGGAAGGGGTAACAGACCCCCTCTGCTTCAGGCCAGGCGGCACAAACACACAGAAAACACAGACGTGCGGGTGCCCAACACGTCACCACCGGCGGGTGTTCTCCCTGATGCGGCAAACCACACAAAACAGGCACACGTTTCCCTTCTCACAGCATCAGACACAAATTCTTCAGCAGGGAAATAAATTATAGCAAGGCAATTTTGCGTGTCAAACAAACTTACTCAACTAAAAGTTTTTAAAAAGTGGGCACCTACCTACACTTTCTATCTGACCACACCCTCACAAACAACAATAATTATAAGAATCTGACTAAAACCTACAAACTTCAACTAGATCCGACATGTTTCGAATCTTTGGTAAAAAATGTCTTCAAAAGGAACTCGTAGGAGGCGTTGATGATCCCCCAGGAGAGGAAAGAGCGCGAGTAGTTGAGGTGCATTCCCTTGAACATGTGTCGTAGTTGGCCTCCCCTCTCGGAGAGAACCAGCTGAAAGGTGTGCCATACACCATCAAACTGGCCGCCCAGTTTCCACTGCATGTGAGTTTTCACCACGTTCAGGGGGAAGAAGAAGGTGCTGATGAGTGCGCCCAGACACGCTCCGCTGACAAAGTCTTTGGCCATCTGTGAGGGGAGAAGAGAAAACACATTTAGCTGACAAAACCTTTGACCAAAAGAAAACACATTCAATTGACAAAATTAAGCTCCGCCGACAAAATCTTTGACCATCTGTGGAGAGAAGCAAGTAAATACAGCGGAGTCTGCTTGCACCTGCCAGGCCGCTGGGGTTTTTGGTGTAGAAAGATGGCTGAAATAGTGAAGACAAAGATTAGGGCTTCCATTTTCTTCTGGTTTACCACTGTTTTTGGATTCACTGTGTTCCAAGTAAGCACACTCAACAGTTTTGTCACATTTGAAAAATTTCTTGTCTGAAACTAGAGAAACTGATTGTGCTACTGACCTTCTTTCCCCCGGTCAAGTTCTGAGGGCCACACGTCTGCAGATATTCTCTCCCCAAGAAAAAGCA